TCCCTTTTCCCTCCACCCCCGCCGGGGGCCCCCCCCCTTTCAAAAGGGGGGGGGTTTTCCCCCTCCAAAAGGGGAGAATTCCTTCCCGTTGGGGCCCTTTCCGGGGGAGGAGGAGGAGGGAGAGAGAGGCTTTTGGGAGAAAAATTTCATTCCCCCCCACCCGGGTCCCCCCCCCCCGGGTTTTAAAAAACCTTTTTTCGTTTTTCTTTTTCGGGGGAATTTTTTTTTGAAGAAGGCAGCTCCGGTTTTTTTTAAACAGACCCCCCCCCGATATCCCCCCCCCCGGAGAAGCGCGCCCCCCCCCGCTCCCGCCCCCCTCCAGCACCAGGTTTTCCTCTTTTTCCCTGGGGGGCGTGCGTTGGGGGTTGGGGGGCCCCCCCTTTTTGTATTTCCGGGGCTTCAGCCACCCGGGACCACCCGGCCCGGGGGGGCCCGGCCCCCCCCCGTTCTTCCTTCCCAGGGGAAAGTGCTTTCCACCTTTGTTAACCTTTTAGAAGGTAAAGCCGTATTGGGGGGGGGGGGGGGGGGGCAGAACAACGCAACGCAGTGTGTACGCGAACAAACAACGTACGAGGAGGAAGGGCCAGTTGGTTGGTGGAGGGCGATGGGGGAGGCGATAATGCCAAGGGCGTCGTTTGGGACTGAACGGCAACCACAGCAGTGGACGCTTCAAAACCTTTCCGTGCTTGCACAACTTCGGTATACGCCCAACTAGTACATATCGAAAGAGAGATACCGTTGGGAGCGAGAGCATCGACGAACGCACCATCATGTGTTGTGGCACAGCAGTAACGTACCGGATCGACACATGTTTCGCCGCAAAACACGCTTGTCCCTCGAGCTGAAATGCGTACGTATAATCCACGAATTCTCTTGTAGGCTGAGCACGGCGGTGCTGCCTGCCAGACATGCTACATACGGAGTCGACAAAAACTGAAGCCAGGGCCGGTCGCCCACATGACGCACAGATGGAGAAAGCGGCAAAAACGCTTTACAACTGATGTTACTAAAACATTAAAAAAAAAAGGAAAGAGCGTACATACCTGATCAGGGATAGGCCGCGACTTGACAAACGACGTCGAGGCTTCGGACGCGCCAGAGGTATCCGCCAGGCCGCTCAGCCCGCTTAGGCCCAGCGTCGTCATCATTCCGCTCGAGTTCCCCTCCCCGCCGCTCACGTCCTGCTGCGCATCCTCTGCGGCCGCTCCGAACCCGGACGATGTGGAACACACACCCCAGTCTCCTCTACCCTTGCCCTTGCCACCGCGATCGCGGATCCACGAATCATCCGCCGTCGTCACGGAAGAAGACGCCGCCACCACGGCCGCCGCCGTTCCCGGCGTACCCTGCGTACAGATCGACGAGCCTTCGAGGGGCGCGGGGCCTTCCCACGGCCGCCGGGCCGTCATACACCCGCTTCCGAACCCGGCTCCGCCGCCGCCGCCGCCGAGGTGTTTTCCGGCGAACGCGGCGGGGGACACGAGAGGATTCGGGGTGCTCTTGCTGGCCGCGGCAGCGGTAGCCGAGTTGCTTCCCGCGCCAGCAGCAGCCGCCGTCGTCGCCGCCGGTGGGCCGCCCTCTGTGTCCATCGCGTCCGGCATCTCCAGCGTTCGAAGCGCTACCTCCGGCCGCGGCCGCCGACGCCTGCGCCGCACCAACGTCGCGCGGCTGTCGCCATCGCCACCGCCGCCGCGAGTCCCCCCGCCGCCGCCCTCCTCCTCGTCGTCCGTGCCCTCGTCCATCAGGTCGCGCATGGAGCCCAGGGAGGGCTGCTCCGGCGACGCCGGGTGGCGCGACTCCTCCGCTGTGCCCTCCGTCGAGGCGCTGCTGTCTCCGCTCTTGGAGAAGGGGGTGGGCGACTCCACCGAGAACGGCGGCGAAGTCAACCCTTTCCCACCCGTCGTCGGCGTCCGCGCGTCGGCGGTAATCTTTCTGGGGGAAAAGGCGAGCTTCATCACGGTGCCCGACGGGCCGGTGTCGTCGTCCGACCAAGACCCTTCCATCCGCACGATCCCGAAGTGGTGCGCCGACCCGACCGCTTCGTCGCCGGCGCCGGCGCCGTCGCCTCTCCTGCAGCTACCGCTACCGCTGCTGCCGCTGTCGCTCGCTCGCCGACCGGAACCTCCCCCGCTGCCAGCGCCGCCGCCGACGCCGCCGCCGACGCCGCCGCCGCCGCCCTCCACTCTCCTGGGAGACGATCGCCACGGGCGGCCAGCGCTCGCGGGGGGGCTTGCGTCGAAGCCCTCGAGAGCTATCGACGCGGCGCTGGACGCGGGCGAGATGGGGGAGTGGTCCCCGAACCTCGCCTGCGGGTACATGTCCTGGGCGGAGGTGATCGAGTGCCGGCGCCGGCGCCCCCGCCCCATGCGCTCCTTCTGCAGCGTGCGGCGCAGCTCCTGGCCGTTCCAGCTGGCCCCGACCTCCTTCGTCGTCGCTCCCGCGACCCCCGTTGCTGCTCCCCCTCCCCCTGCGGCAGCGCAAGAACCCTCGTCCCCGTCGCCGCCGGCGCCGGCGCCCCTCTCCTCGATGTTGTTGTTGCTGTTGTTATTGTCATCCGCCGGGCTTGCGTACCGGCTGCCGGGGTCCCACTTCTGCAGCGATTCCGTCAGGCAGTGGACCGGCGATCGCCGGGGCGAGTGGTCCGACATGGTGTCCCCCCCGCCGCCCCCGCCAGCCCCGAGCCGGCCGCCCCCGACGGCACGCCTGTACGACCCCGCCGGGCCGCCTCCACCGGAGTTAACCTCGGTGGGGCTGGCCGCGGACATGGACTCTGCCGACGATGAGGTCGCCGCCGCCGCAGCAGCAGCTATCGTCGCCGCTCGCCGCCCACCAGCGGCACAGCCGGCGCCCGACCGAAAGGAGTAGCGTCCCTTCCGCGGCGTTGACATGGAGGGGTCGCGCGGAGACGACATGCCAACAGCAGCGGCCGGAGAGGCAGCACCGTCTGCCGCCGCCGCCGCAGCTGTCCCCGAGGGTACGACAGGGAGCGGGGGGATCAACGGGGGGGAAGGGCTGCTGCCCTCTCGGCTCCTTCGGATTCCGATGCCCATGCCGATACCGCCGCCGCCGCCGCTGCTGCTGCTGCTGCTGTTGGTGTTGGTGCTGCGGGTGGAGCGCGGTGCCCGGCGGGAGGACGCCTTGCGGCGCAAGTCCGGCGAGCTCGTCACGCTGGCCGGGGCTAGCAGAAAGGGCAGCATGGAAGAGTCCTTCCCCGCCGGGCCCGCGCTGGGCACGCGGGGCGTCGACGGGGCGTCAGCCCCCGCCTCCGCCGCCGTAGGCTGCAGGGGTTCTGCCGCCGATTCCTCTCCTCGGCCCCTCCTCCTGCCGCCCCCGCCCCTGCTCTGCTCGATCTTCAGCCTGGGTGACGCGTGTTGGGAGAACGCGCTGAAGGCAGAGAGTCGGAAGGCACCGGCTGCACCGCCGTCCGCGGACAACGGAGCCGAAAACATCCCACCGCCAAGGCTCATGCCGCTGCCGCTGCCGCTGCTCAAGTGAAGGTCGTTCTCCTTGTCGAAGGGCGCGGCGCTGAACCTGTCGCCGATTCCCTGCACCCTCTTCTTGGGCGACTGAAACGACGGGGACCGGAGCGGGTGGGGGTTCGCAAGACCCGCCGCCAGTTGGCCGTGGTCCTCCTCGACCGGGCTCCGCGCCTTGCGCTTTCCCGGCGAAGGCGGGAACGGGCAACCACCGTCGCCGCCGCCGCTGCTCCCCTCTCCATCAGACTCTCCAGCAGCCGCCGCGCTCGCAGCAGGTGCGGCCCCGCCGCGGAGCCTCGAGCTTGTGCGCCTAGGCATGATGTTCTCTCTGTTTTTTCGCGAAAATGCTCCTCGCTGCTGCTTCTGCCCGCGGCGGGTGGCGAATCTCTTCTTTCCCCCCGCCGCCCTGAAACCACAAAACTCAGCGGAAGTACAACCTCCGGGTAGCCCACAACTTGGTAGTTCGCTGAAGTATGCCCTTGTCTTCGCTGGCTGCTGCAACGCCCGTCTCCTCGGCCAAGTCAAAAGTCTCCAACTAAAGCAGCAGCAGAGGAGCGCAGGGGGGGGGGGGTCCGCCTCGCTCGGGCTGGTTCAAAACCAAAAAAGACCAGACGCAATTCCTTTTCGAACCCAGCCTATTCGAAAATGATTGCCTTGCAGCTTCCTCTTATCTCTCCGCGGCAGGTCTCAGCGGTACGCGCGTTTGCTGGCAAGGCGTTGTGTGCCGGCCGCGTCGTGTGCCAAACAGCAGGGTAGTCAGTGACGCTTGATTAATTTGGAAGGATTCCATCTGCAGCGCCTCTTGTGGGGGGCCCGCAGACTGAGATATTTTTGAATTTTTTCAAAAAACGCGCGAGTTTGGCTGCGCGCCACTCGCCACGGATTGGTACATGGTGGGTTGTTGCCGATGTATGTACTACTGCTGTAAGCTGTTTTCGATTGATTGTCATGAGTTTTCTAATACAGAGGCCAGCGCGCAGAACCAGCTGAATATACTGTAGCTTTGTGCGTGGCAATGAGAAACGGGCGGGCGCGCCAGCAGACATAACCTTGGATATACCGTCATCACACATCATGTGAGTAGAGACCACGCCCGATCCAACAGAAGTATTTTTACCGTCGTTTGTCAGTTGGCTGTGACGTGAAGATCCCAAGAGAGGAGAGGGGGCTAGGCAGTATAAATGGGTGGAGAACCTGCGCGTGTACACTTTATGTATGTGTAGCTCGCTCTGATTCCACATGGCATTTCCAGCTTCTCGCTATACGCGCGGAAGATACGATCATATCCGATCTCTACGTCAAGGTGTGTTGTTCATGTATGTGTATGATGCGTTACGGTCCCGCGATATGACCCCTGCCTCCCGTTACTTAACATCTGGTACACAGGTGCTACGAACACTAGTTTACATCTGTGACGCGCAGACCGAAATATTTAGCGCACTATACGTGTGTGGAACATACGAAGGAGGGACGAGCTGTTTTCGCACTTGTTACTTGAAGTACAAACAAAGCAAGGAAAAGTACTTCTAAGCACAGAAGACACCTAATTCTCTCCAGAACAGAAGCAACATAATTCTCTTGTGCTTGTTCGATCATGTTCTATCCCTGCCTGACTCTCAACTCACATGTTGTACTTCGTACAGCGTGTAGCAAAGCAAGCGGGTTGTCTCGTTGGCTTGTCAGCTAGACTATATAGCGCACTCGCTGAAGAATTTCATCAAGAGACTTCCTGCGCTGCTTGCGCCTCTCGTGCAACGGTTAATCGTTCATCGTTTCGCACTGTAGTACGTTGTGTTGATTGGCCACTGGTAATTCCAAAGGACTGGACTCCAAGTACAGAGAGCCGGCGCGCTCACACGCCCCCAAGAAATACCCTCACATGAATCGAGGCTCAGAATCTCCAAAACAATGTGAGATAAAGCGTAAGAAATAATTGGGCTTAGCTGCAGACACCGCGCTGAATCCTCTATATGGCGGCATAGACTGTGCCCAATTGTTGAGACACTGCAAGGGGTTGGGCCTTGGTCGGAAAATGTGTCTAGCTCTTACGAGCGGGCCGGCACTGCATGTTGTCTTCCTCTGGGAACTAACCCAAATACCGTTGATACTTTCCTTGGTTCAAATCCCTAACCACAGCCAGCCGCGGTGCAGTAGAACAAATCCACCAAATAAACATTGTGTTGCGCATACCTTCAGAGAGCGGAACCGATCCCAGAGAAGTTGATAGTTAACGTAAGAGCTTGATGGGGGCGAAACAAGTTAACTTGAATCCTCGCCTCGATTTATATAAGAAGAAACAAAAGACCCTTCATGGCAGTCGTCTTTCTTTTTTTTTTTTGTCACAAAGGAAACCAGGAGCGAGCTTCGAGTAAAAAAAAATACGTTTTCTGGTGGCGGCGCGTTCGGCACCCACCCCACAGCAACACCCCACCGTATGTCTGTCTGTCTGTCTGTCTGTCTGTATGTATGTATGTATGTATGTATGTATACGACAACTAGGAACACTTCTTCACTCCCCCCCCTGTTTGTGTTCGACACGTACGTCTGCCTCCCAGCTGCGCCTTGAACTTACTCTCAGCCCCCGTCGCTCGACGTGCCTCCTAGTACTTCGTAAGGACTCTGTAGATGCCTGCCAGTCTCGTTCTCGCTGGAGGGGCGAGTTACGGAGGGAGGCATCATAGAGAAAGGCGCCGCCATTGTAGGTCAGGCCTGCTTCGTTTTGAAACAAACGAGTGTTGTCAACTCTTCGAATGAACTTTAGGGACACATCCGTACGTACGTTTGTGTGATGCCCCGCCATCCCGGACACAGGCGGGCATCGATAGTAGGTTGCAACACGTCTTCATAAAAGTCAAGACCGTGTTAATATGGTCCAGCTCGAGCTTGGTAGCTTTGACCGAGCAGCGGAAGTAAAGGGTATGTGCGTAGAGCCACGTGGCCATGGCATGGCACGTTTTATTCGGCGTTACATACATGTGGAAATCGCGTCATCTCCACAAAGTCGGGGAGGTGCATCTCGAATGTTTCACCGACCAGCGTCGCAAAGCACCAAGCCCAAAACGCCCACCGCGAAGCACGAGGAGGGGGTGGGGGTAGTTGGTCACTTCGCCGTTGATCGCCACGAATGCATCCCTTTCGACGGAGCACCGGTAAAAGCTCCTTGCGAGACAGACACACAACCAACGTTCCGCCATCACTTTTTTTGGGGTGGATGCCGAACCTCGTATTTTTGGGGCGCCGACGAAAATAGCCTGCCTGTGTTGTTGGTATTGGTGTATGCTTCACCTGGGAAAGTTTTTTCTTGCCCTCCCAGTACTTTTCAAACCCGAAAGACCTGAACGGATCCATCCACGGACGCGCCATTGCCGTTGAGAACGAGAGGGTTGCGCCACGCCTTTTATTCTGGGCAACGAGAAATAGCTGCTTGTGTTCGCCTGCAGTGCGCCCAGATGTTGTCGGCGGGTAAGGACGGACATCAGGCCATCGCAATGACCTTTTTTCTTGTCTTCGGTTCATGGCCACTCTTGACAAACACAATACTTCATTATTGGCTTCTGCCCGTGCTCGTGCTCAACGTCTGACTCCAGCCTCCGGTTGTGGAGATCGATTGTTGAGCAGACAGCCGCGTGGTTCTCGACGTGCCTGAGGAGACGGTGGGGCGCCGCCACGACATTCACACCCACCCACCCCTACCCTACCCCCAGACCAATGCGAACTCCTCCTCGTGATTTCTCCGGAGATTGCGGAGAGAGGTTGGGTCATCCCCCACCCATGTCATTCGGGTGGCAAACGACGGCGGTTCCCAATGGATGGCAACGAGGAGTACGCACCGATGTGCAAGAAGATTTGTAGTAGTAGAAACGTGAGAGAAAGTGGTTTCGAAGAAAGTAAGGGATTTGATCCTCCACATCTTCACAGGAACGAACGGTGGTAAATAGAGAGGGCTCAAGAAAATAGTTGCAGGGATGAGCGTGATAACGCCCGTAGTTGTAGTCTCCCTGGCGCAAAGTGAAGTCGGAATATAAAGCAGCTCAGCTCTCAGGGTAATGACGCTAGCAGGAGAGAAACAAATGGTGCAGTGGCATTGCTGCCTGGTGGTGTTGAGTCTTCTTCTTGTACTTGAGAAGCAGGACACTACTGTCGTCCAACTCCTGCCCCCCCCCCCTATCAGTAGAACCCTTTCCGTTTGATTCGAAAGCGTGCTGTTCGCGCTTTTAATCCTCCCGCTAAGTCTAAGACCTATTGTCTTTGGATTGGTCAGCCGGCTAGCACGGTCGATGCTAGTTCAAGAAGCACTTATACACGCATGGGTTCATCCAGGAATGGGCGCGGCAGATTGTTTTCTGGCACACTCCGCCCGCTACATGTGTATTTTTTCCCTTATGTTTTCTTTGTTGCATGTTTGATCATTTTTCGCTCGCCCAGATAGATTGAGGTCGGGTGTGTTTCTTATCCTCAGAATGCCGTTATCGAAAACCTGAGCCTTGTCTTGTCTGCCATGGGACATGGTGTGCGAAAACCTGAACGCAGATGCACGACAATGACTAGTTTTTGTCGAGGAAAACCTGGCGCACATGCACCACGTACTGTCTGCTCATAAGAACATCAAGGAGAGCACGTGGTAGGTCAGGGCATAGCAGTGACAGCCCCCTCCTCAGTATAAGTATGGCGGGCCGGGGTGGATTGAAGCACATGTGTGGCGTTTATGTGACTCGCGTGAACGTTGGGCCCGATAATCGGATATTTTGTTCGCTCCTCCTGTAGACATCGGAAAGTTTACAGCATGCCTGGGCACGTGGTTGCAATCAATGCTTCTCGGAGGCGATATGGCCGAGCAAGGCGCGGCCTTGAGCGGTGCACGAGACGGTTGCGTTTGAATACTGGCAGCAACTCAACGTACACGTTCTCTTCATGGGGGGCAGGTGGTGCACGACAAAATGATCGACTGGTGCTTGGAAGTGCTTCATGTATCGGGGTTTCTGTGAAAAGGAATAGCATAGACTACGTGCTGACGAACGTTTAGTCTATGTAGGTGGTGACCATGCGACCACGGAATTATAGCGTATCCATTTTCGTTTAGTTGTACAAACCAGCTGTAGTCGAAACATAGAACCAACCCAAACTACCAAGGATAAGCTTGAGGTGGTGGATGATGGATATCTAAGCATTTTCCCTCGCGGGACTACCGTCCACAGCATCATTATTTGACCGGTTGCCAACATCCGGGAATCACCACGCGCGGAGACATCGATCATTGCGTGCGGTGGTTTGGCTCT